TTTTGCGCCCCTCTCTCAATCCACTCTCTATAGTGTCATTGTACGGAGCAATACTTCTTTGCAGACTATAGTTGGTTCATACTTGAAAACTCGCCTTGCTGCGCAAGCTGAAGGAAAACGAGAAGGGATACAAGAAACAGTGCTCTCCCCTGTCTTCCTTCGAGTTGGGCAGCAAGTTGAGTTGTCAGTGTATGGGGCTAACTATGCACCCCCCCCCCCCTCTCGACCTCGACCCCCTAACCCGTGCACACACCTGTGTAAAGCAGGCAGTAGAGGCTGTAGTCATGCGATGTAAAGGGAGGATAGCCGGTTGTAGAACAATGCACTGTCGGCTTCAAATGAAAGACGAACAGCGGCAAGCATTAGAAATAGAATAGTTCACGCCATCCGGTAATTCCCATTTACAGGCGCACAGCACTCCGGTTTGTAAACGCTACGCATGCCGATGGGGATCAATGAACGATGCGCACTATATAGCCTACCTTGCCACTGTTCGTGTTTCATTTAACGTCTATCGTTGATTTATATCTGGGCTCCACAAATTCGACCACCTGGGTTGTCGAAATTTTCAAGTGGGATGCTGAACAAGTCCAATTGCTGTGCGATGTGACGCTGCTGTGCAACTGGTCATTTAGCAAGAGTTGGACGTTGACAGAACGTTGAATAAAGATTTATTGACTGATCGCTGAGCGCCAGTACTGGCACCTAACAAATATTTAGGTAAGCAGCCAACTGAATGTTAAACTGGTTAAGGACAAGTCTCATCACGTCTATAGGATGCTACTGCTTTTAGCAAGCACTCCCTCATCACATTTATGGTGCGTGCAAAACAAGTGCCTTTCCCACTTATCTTCATTAGACCCAGATTGCATCAGCTGAATCTGCCCTATACTTGCAAATCTGTAACCTTCTCATGTCACTCTCGCCACTACGTACAATGCACTTATTTTGTGAATTAGACACGTCATCTTAGTATGTGCCAGTAACATGCATCCACTACGAATGAGTTGCACAGAGGAACTACAGCTGAACCCTTTTATAAAAGACACTGATGTAATAGACAAATGGCTATAGAAGACACCAGTGTGCTTGCATAAAAATAGGGGTTGATATAAAATGCACAGTATGTGGTACCTTGCTTATGAGAGACACCTCATATCAAAGACAGGAATCGCTCCCCAGTGCATGTTCCTCACAAAGGGGTTCAACTGTATTAATTCATAATGCTAAGTCCAATAAGCTAGCTTATTGCCAATCGAATTTCAGTCGAAAATTAAACAGTAATAATCCAAAAGAAGTATCTTCCCTAATGCTGTCAAAGGAGAAGGCCAGCACTACGTCATTTTCAGTACGCATGCAACTCACGCACGTGAAAGAAAGAAGTGAAAATCTAAGGGCTCGTTTTCTTTCTTAGAAACAATTTAATTAAAAACTGGGTTCTTTAACGTGCACCCAAATCTGAGCACACGGGCCTACAACATTTCCTCCTCCATGGAAAATGCAGCCGCCGCAGCCGCGATTCGATCCCGTGACCTGCGGGTCAGCAGCCGAGTACTTTGACCACTAGACCACCGCGGCGGGGCGACGTCTATCGTACAAGAAATAGTCTTGTAATATAATGCGTGGCTGTAGTCTCAACATCTGAGGTCGCATTCTTATGTATACCTTACTTCACCAGCGCGTGTTTATGGATGTGTGACCAATAGTGTGGTTGCACGTGCGCGCTAGTTAAGAATGCCTAACCACCAGTATACCAGAGCTCCTAGTTTATTGGCGGAGAGTGTTTCATTTATGTGCTTCCTATAGTTTATGGTTACTGTTCTAGTTTTAGTACGGTCTACCTCACCTGTGGAATTCATTCTTGCGGTTTGGACAAAAATTATCTGAATTTCGTACAAAGTCACAGTAAATGCGCAGACGACCTTCGATGTTTATGTGGTTTCAGACGAAGAAACAAGAAAGATAATCTATAGCCAGATCATATATGTTATCTACACGCGATAAATTTAATGCTCGCTCTGGTATAATGTAAGAGGCTACACCACAACAAAGGGAGCACAATCTACCGCTTTCTTTGCGCGTGAATAGTGCCGGATAAAATGTCTTGTTTCTGATTCACAGGCTACTTCAACGAAATTATCTGTTGCCAATGGCGCTGTAATCTCATTGTGAAAAAAATTTGCAGATCCCACGTACGATGGGAATCGCTCATATGCGATGCGCGAATGACGAAGGTTGATATGTCACTTTAAAATCAGCCCAACGTTACAAGGCGGAGGTAAATTATGCCGTACATGTCTTTTATGTCATGATTATCACGTTTGAACGCGTGATTTACCTTCGTCACCTATTCACGTCACCTGATACCAGATTTGGTACATGTGCAGCTAGCGAAACGGCCATGAGCACGCTATTAGCGTAGCATGCAGTCATGTTTTACATGACACGAATATGATGATTATCATGTCTGTACGTGTCACATACCTTCGTCGGCCAGTCACGTCCCGTAATTTTAAACTTGGTATATGTGAAGCTAGCGAAACGGCGGCGAGCGCCCGCTGGGCGCAGCGACGCTATATACGCTGACTATGCATTGCTTTGGGGGAACAGTTAATAGGTGAACAGTGAATGCGACATGCTGCATTCCGAGGTGAAGACGTTACCTAGACAACGCCGCGTCTGCTTAGCTTCGTGACGGAAGTACGCCAGGCACGCTTAAAGGCGCATGCGTCATAGCAACGCAGCGCGGCGTGCGCCTGCGCAGATCGGCGCCTGGCGTGGCATCACCGGCGTGACGCGACAAAACGAACGCCGGCGCGCACGCGCGTCGGGTCACTCGTGTTTTTACATGACACGCGTCTCATGATTACCATGTTTGCACCAATCGCATACCTTCGTCATTCATTCACGTCCCGTAACACCAAATTTGGTGTATGGGAAGCTAGCGAAACGACTGCGAGCGTACCATGAGCGTGGCGCGTAGTCATGACATACATGACATACATGTCACGATTTCCACGTTACGGTCTGTCACTTGTGTTTGGCCATGCAGTCACGTCATACCATGCCAATTTCACAACATTTCATGCGAACGAAACCACGGCAAGAGCTGCAAGACCACAAAATGTAAGTTATGACACTCATGAATGACTAATCAATTATGCTTGTCATACAGTCATGTTATTCCATACCAAATTCGGTATTGATGGCATTAACTAAACGGCCAGGAGAGCTAAAAGTCGTAGGCGGCTAGATAGATAGATAGATAGATAGATAGATAGATAGATAGATAGATAGATAGATAGATAGATAGATAGATAGATAGATAGATAGATAGATAGATAGATAGATAGATAGATAGATAGATAGATAGATAGATAGATAGATAGATAGATAGATTCAAAGTCACCGAAGTTCGCAAAAAAATGCTTCGCATTTGATAAGGATTCAGCTAGAAGACTGTTATGATTTCCACTGCCGGGCTCAGTTATAATGCACCTAGTTTTGTGCCTACATCCTTTCCCTCTAGAATCCTGAGTAAGCCTTTATACAACAATATTTATTGTTAAAATTCAGTCAATGTACCGCAAGCCGAGTTCAAGGTGAAAGCAAGGTTTCAAAGGACCCGTAAACCACCCAGAGGTCAAAATTCAGTTGTGGTGGGGAAATTGTGCACGAGTGCACAACGAATACGGAGCTGTGAGAGTTTTTCGGAACGGTGCAGTAATAGCGGAGTTTTTAGATGCGTTTCATTGCCGAAGATGATAGTTATAGCGCGACAACAAAACGACGACACAGAGACAAGAAGGACATGAGAGACACGTGTCTTTCGTGTCCTTCTTGTCTCTGTGTCGTCGTTTTGTTCTCGCGCTATAACTATCGTCGTGCCATACCAACTAGCCCAAGCTGCCACACTTCATTACCGAAAGCGTGACGACCAACGCCTTTCGCTCTCTCCTACGCTTCCCTCCGCTGGTATCCTCTCCCACGTGTTTTGCTTTCTCGCTGAGCACCCCTCCCATGCACCTCCTAATCTCGCGTGGCATACGTCATCACTGACGCGCTGCTCGAAACACCGTCAACTTCCGGTTGCCGCGACTCCGGCAGTCGACTCCGTCAGTTGCGTTGTAGCTGCGTGCTTGTTGCCGAACCGTGGCTGCCGTAATCGTGCCGCTATGGACCCTGCGTTGCGAGCGTGCTTTCAAAGTATTGCCAACGCGGTGGACACGCCGTGCTCCGCACGTGTTGCACGCACGTGGGCAACACGAGAAACAACAACAAGAAGCGCGGACAGCTGTTTGCAGACTGACCAGAAGTCGTGAGCTCTTCCTCGACCAATCACAGCATATTTGGCTCAGCGCGTCAGAGATGTGACCAGGCGCGTCACGCGGAGGCCCGAAAGGCCAGGAAAGAAGGAGGGATTGTTTCTTGGAATGTGTGGCGCGCCGGCGGCTCGTATCGCTGACACGTGTACAATCGTTGATCACGATGGTATTCTGCACACGATGCGCGCGTTTACTTAAAATGCTTGTAAAAACATCGGACGTGGTTTACGTGCCCTTCAAGGATTTAGAGCAGCGCACGAGCATCACTACTAGACCTTGAGCAATCTGTAGCAGCCCCCGAGGAACTCCTAAGTTACGAATGCTACTAGGAGTGCAAACAATGAGTTATCCTTGCATGAGTCTTGCAGTGCACGCGTCCATGCACGTCATAAACGCGTCAGTGCACGCCGGTTCCATAATGGTGCCTTATTTCCGGTGGCCCCACAACCTCATGAGTTAACATTGGAAATCGTCACAGGCTGCTCAGTTGGAGGAAGTCGCTCCCAACGGCATTGCGATCATGTCCAGACGCCGGCTGTGGCATCTTATATTCGTTAATTGCGAAGACAATGACTCACACATAATCTCAGGAAGTGGTTCAATTTCCTAGACCGCAGTCTTGCTTATAAGAGAACACCATGGTTTGACTTGCATTCATTATGCTCTTCCATGCAGGTAGCTACATTAGAGCGAGGATGAGGTCGGTTGCTCGACACAAGCAGGTGCAGCCCGGCGCTCCGGTAGAAGCGAGACAACGGCTGTCAGCGGCTGGCCGTTGACAGCGTCTCGGCCATGCGGCTGGTGCGGACGCCTTGCGGCCGCCGGTTACGGCGTTGTCCGGCGTTGGTGGCCGCAGCACTGACCTCCGTGGCGCTACTGCTGGTGGCGACAAGGCATGGCACCCTCTGGACTGGTGAGCACGACGACCAGGACCCGGACGTGCGTCAGTGGATTCGCAGAGACTCGCGACAAAAGGAGTACATCAACCGCAGAGGCATACACGTCATCGTAGGACACTACATGGGCAAGGGCCTGCCGTGGGAAGCTACGCCTAACCTTACCGACGGTATGCACGACTCTCCCTCAATCTTTCATGGTGTGCGCGTTGAAGACCACATGATAGCGTGTCCCGTCTGACGTACGAGCAGTAGTACCAAGAAACCCATCCAAGGGCCGCAATGACCATAGGCGTACACCTTCTCCGTCAAGTAAGGGTAGGAGGTGGAGCTTAACATCAGCGGCGCTGATCGGTAAAGGTAGATTTTACCAATCGAGTCCGAAAGAAAGCAAGCTTCACAATGAATACAAAAATAAAAATGGAGTGAGGACGAGCTTCTCACACAACACATTTGGTCTATGGCTTTCCGGAAGTAACGCTCGGAGTGAACAGCTCTAAATTGTTTACAAGGGGCCTTCAGTTAGTAGCATTGTCAAAAACAAGCATGGCCATAACCCTGCACATAACACAATGATGATACAGGTCCGAATGAACAAAGATACGAGCAGGCTTGGCGCCTATCTTTAATGATTGGAGAGAGGTGCCCCCTCGCCTCCCCCCCCCCCCCCCCTTGAACGTACACCTATGGCAATAAGACTGCAGTTGATGATGCACAAAACGCATGAGGTACCATGCCGTGCTGAGTCCGGATCCAATATCATATTCTAGGGAACCGAAGGCTGCTCATTAGGTTCGACTCTTGCAGCGTGGTAATCTTTGTTCCGCATACTCTAACCTGAACTGATGGTAATGTTCACTTAAGTTAAAAATAGGGCTACAAGTTATTATTCTTGAAGTGCAAGAAGATGCAATACCTTTCCTATACAGAAAAAAAGAGAGGGGGGAAAGACGTGCAGCGGCTGGTTGAGAGAGCTCATTTTTGAAGAACTGTGCAGCCTGATAAAAGCACCAGTGCTTTGGCATCTGATTTGAAAACACACCATTGAGAAAAAAATTAAATGCATATCGATGAAGTAAATCTTGATGAACGGGGCCAAGCGTCCTCTGTCTGTCTGTCTGTCTGTCTGTCTGTCTGTCTGTCTGTCTGTCTGTCTGTCTGTCTGTCTGTCTGTCTGTCTGTCTGTCTGTCTGTCTGTTCGTTCGTCCGTCCGTCCGTCCGTCCGTCCGTCCGTCCGTCCGTCAGGTATACTAAATCGTCAGCTATAGTATACAAAAAACACTAACGCAATCTAGTGATATTATTTCCAAGAACATTTACACACAACGCCGTTTCTTGACCAATTCATAAATTAAAGGTGCCTACATGTTACTACTACAGAGGAGGGAACGACCCAGATGCTAAGGAGCTTAGCCTCTAAAAGGAAGTCAATGCATAATGTTCGATTTCACTTGCCAAGTAAATGGTATGCTTGTGCTGCCATGGATGGACGGTTGACTGGTCATGCGGAGCTATAATAAAGGAGGCAGGAAGAGAGGGGGGTGGAAAAGGAGAGGCATAGGCGTGACAGGTAGCGAGGCCAGCGTGGCGTTCATGCAGGGGTTTCTCAAAGAGTCAAGTGTTTCAGAAGTCTATACGCAAGAAATGGGAACTGTTTCTTTTTTTCTGCTCTAATAGCGCTAGGAGGACAACAAGGCACTCAAAGTCACGGAAGACTCAATCCCTCTACAATGTAAAACATTGTTCGATAAAATAAGTTTTAAGTATCCTCGGCACTCTATTCCCCGGCATCCTCAGCACTCTAGTCCCCGATAAAAAGTTTTAAAAGGGAATACTTGCTTTTCCTTTCTCTGCGAACAATCAAGCCAAACAACTCCGTGCAGATTTAACAACGCTGTGTTACGCTTACAACAAAATTGGGGTTCCATAAAATGCTTAATTATTATTTTATAGCAATAAATGTGACGTGACTTTCATGATACACCTTTCCTCCTTTCCATACGCCGTCACATTACGGCTTAAATACAAAACAAGTGCTGCTTAATATACAGCTACTTGTGCAAAACTCACTCTAATGCAGATTGTCGAGAAATATGCTTTTTTTTTAAAAATCACAGCATATCCGTGGACCAAATGATGATGAGTGGGGCGAATCATCCATTCGTCCGTTTGTGCATCTGTCCATCCGTTCAACCGTGGGTCGATCTGTCCGTCCGTGCGTGCGTCTGTCCGTATGTCTGTTTGTATGTATGTCTGTATGTCTGTCCGTCCAGTGAGCACTCCAAGTGCCATCATCTCACATCTTTTCATCATATATAGATTATATACAAGTCCCGTCATCTAGTGAACATTCCAATAACTAAACCCCCTGTGGCATATACCCAATAGAGGTGGTTACTACAGAGGACGATCGGGTGAAGCCTTAAGGAGCTTCGCCCTTAAAAAAAACTCACAAGGTCACCAATAAATTCACCTAATATTGTTTCATTTAAAAGTTAATAAACAACGCACAAGTGTGTTTAATCTCGCTTCTTCATCCGCAGAGATACTCAACGCCAACGACTTCGCACCGGAGAAGAACGCCGGCGCCGATGGCCAGGCCGTGATGGTGTTGCCCCACGAGCAGGCTCGCAGCAAGCTTCTCTTTCACGTGAACAAGTTCAATCTTCTAGTCAGCGACAGGATTCCACTGAACAGGTCTCTTGCGGACGCCAGGAAAGGGAGGTATGAGCACCGCGCGCTATTAACAACGATTATTTTTACCAACGAATACTAGTTATAGTATGTAATACTATCTTGAAGACACGTATTTTGCTTTTCCTTCTTACCTGATGCTATTTTATTACGTAGTGACCTACTGAATGACGTCGTAAAGAAGAACAAAAAAACTTTTACTGATTCTGAGGTTCCTCGAGAATTTCGCTTTGTGTTTACTTTGTTAGTTGTTTCTTGATCACTGTAGTTCGGCTTCAAATGTTATATGGTTTTCCATAAATAGTGTAACAGATATTATGAACTGCAAATACACATAACCATGTTTCTACTCTGTCTATTTTATTAGAAACGTCATTATAACAAAAGTTATCACACAACTTCACAAAAGTTATTAGAGAGTTTCAGAATTGGGAGCCCAAGACACCGGGTCCTCAAGCTGCATTGCGTTGGTCGCTTTTGCGTTGCGAGGCTCAGCAGAGTTTCAGAATTGGGTCAAACGCAGGGTGCGTTGGGTCAAAAGCACGGGGCGCCACACGTGGCCAAATAAAAAAAATATGCGAGACGCGGGCCATATACGGCACCGTAGCTCGTGCTGCATCTGCTTCGTCTCGCTGGCGACCCAAGACGCCTTGGGGCCCATGCTAGTTTTCGATTTTTGGTCCTTTGGTCAACACGAACGCATGAGCCCAAGATTGGCTCCGGTTCTGCGCATGCCTCCTGGTACGTCGCAAGCTTCTTGGGTCTCCAAGCTCCTTGGGGCCTCAATTCTCAAACTGCCTAGTGTGTAATTTAATTACTGGCACCCATCCTGTAATGACCCTCGAGACAGGGCCAACAGTATGACTAAATAAATAAATCATTTACACAACCTCATCCTACACAACATTAGCATGTCATAGACGCAAGTTGTCAGCGTCCGCTCTTAAGTGGTCGATTTTGCAGATAATTAGAGCCGAAACACAGGCAACAGGGCGACACTTTGGACGTTCGAGAAGCAAAGAATCCTCCTTGCTTATTCCTGTTCATGCCTTTCTTCTCTGTGTATGCCTATGTCTGGGCCTCTTTCGCTGCCATATTCCCCACTTGGCCAACAGAGGTGGGAGATTTGCGGACGACTTCCGCGCAAATGAGTTCAGAACTATTTCCACTCTATCATTTTTTCGCGTGTGTGACACATAGATACCATCGACGGGTTCTCGCGGTCGGTGTCGCCGTCGTGTTTTTTATTATCCTGCCACGTGCACCTTGCCTGTTTTCACTTTCGCAGCTGCAAGAAACTGGGGTACAACGTGAGCGCACTTCCTGACACATCCATCATCATCGTATTCCACAATGAGGCCTGGTCGACCTTGCTTCGGACGGTGCACTCGGTCATCGACCGATCTCCGCGGAGATTGCTGCGAGAGATACTGCTTGTCGACGACGCCAGCGAGAGAAGTGAGTCACATCGGCGTCTCACTGTAGATAGAACTGTCGTCGAGAGTTCACGTCACCATCGTCATTACAGGCGTGCGCACGAGGAGAAAAGGTAGGGGGTAAGGGGGCTAGGCGGCCGCCGCCTCTAGTCACCTATAGGGCGGCTCGAAGTCTGCCCCATTCTTTTCCTCAGTAGCAGATGTCCCGTTATTTCTTAAGCACCAGAGTTTTAGCCACAGAGGTTCTGGACAATAATGGCGTTCGAGGCTTCCCGGCGTTGCATTTATTGTGAAGCGCACATTCTTTTAGGCTCGACTGACGGGAATGAAGAGGGGGAGGAGGGTGGCTGCGATAAAACTCCCCCTCCCCCATAGTAAGGCTACCCTTGCACGCGTATGGTCGCCAGAGTACTTAAACACTCACACTCAGTCCTGTGTGTCGGGCTAGATCTTTAGGAGAAAGTTCTTAGGACCAAGACCACATTATGGCGAAACATTTAGCGCGATCACCTAAGAACAACCATGTTGATCACAAAAAAGGAACCTTACGATCTATGTGACGTACTCAGGCCCTCATTCGCAACAATTAGGCTATAATTACATGCAACGTATGCTGATAGTACTGATGATATTCCAACAAGATTAGCCTGCTAGAGATGGCCGACAATTGCTCTCTGTGCTGCGAGCAACCTATGTGCTGCAAAGGACATGACTCGAATGAACTGCATGACCTATAGCCGCACTGCCCCGTTCTAAATTATACCGAAATGAGAATGTCATTTCATACTAACACGATTCATCTATCAGATAGGTAATCCGAACGTAGTACCTCGTACCAATGAAAGGGTAAATATGCTCCTTTGAAGATAGTGACTCAGGATAGTTCCACCAGTGGAGGTTAAGGCTGTTGGTAGATTGCCAAGGGTGTCAGGCATATCTATCATAGTTTCGTTTACTCGATGTGAGAGGGCAGAGTCGGAAGAGAAGCTGACCGATTCTTAAGTTATATCACGTTTATATCGCTCATATTGTACAAGTTTGTACACCAACTCCGCCTTTTATACGCTATATATAGCCAGGCCCAACTCATTGAATTAACATAAACACAATCTCCGGTCGAGCAGGCCTGACCCGACTTTGTCAGGTTTGTGCTGACAAAACGCAACTGATCCGACGCGCAGCATTCCTGAAGGAGCCCCTGGACAGGCACGTGTCGCGACTGCCGGTGCCGACGCGCGTGCTGCGCTCCACCAACCGGACGGGCCTGATCAGGGCTCGCCTGCTGGGAGCGGCTCACGCCAAGGGCCAGGTGCTCACGTTCCTCGACGCCCACTGCGAGTGCACCAAGGGCTGGCTCGAACCGCTGCTCGCAAGGATCGCCGAGGACAGGTACACAGGCATCGAGACCAATGTATACGTTCGAAGACGTTCCACTCATACGCTAGCGCAATACAGCTACAGCTCAACGTATATGAAGCATGTTGCAATTTGGCAATTGCAGTATGTGTCGTAAAGCGGGTCGTTTAACTATTAGTTAGCGAACTGCAGGTAATTAAACGGTTGTGTTTTAATCACCTGACTACGTCCACTGCAGGACAAAGGCCTCTCCCATGTTCCGCCAGTTAACCCGGTCCTGTGCTTGCTGCTTCCAATTTATACCCGCAAACTTCTTAATCTCATCTGCCCACCTAACCTTCTGTCTCCCCCTAACCCGCTTCCCTTCTCTGGGAATCCAGTCAGTTACCCTTAGTGACCAGCGGTTATCCTGTCTACGCGCTACATGCCCTGCCCATGTCCATTAATCACTTTTTGTATGTAACGGAATAATTAAGATAAGGGCTACAGTTTCGTCGTCTGACACAAGTGATATTTTTAAAATTCTGTATTCTAATAACAAAAATGCTCTTTACAAAGTGTTTCAGCTAACCCGCACTTAACTTTAAAAACAAAACAAAAGCAAACGCGTGTGCTACGCGTGTATAATTAACTCCGTATTGTTCGGACCTGTACACAGTGCTTCAGGATAGTTTGTTCACACCTGCTAAGCTGGGCTATTAATAAATATTACTTAATTACCTTTTTATTTTTTTAAAACGCCAGCGCGAACTTTTCAATGCAGAAGTTGTACCACTTCTTATGAAACGTCGGAATTTCCTGTGCATGTTAAGACGCCTGCCAATCTGATACGCTGGGTAATTAATCAAGATCATTTAATTAACCCTTACACTAACAACTCTAACGAATAAGATTTTGAGTGCATAAGCTGCCACGTTTGTTCAGCAATGTCGAATTATTTATTCTATACTAAGACAGCATCCTGTTTAGTTTTCTTCCTACATTTCTTTAGAATGCACGACAGTAGATAGCCTTTAACTTGGCGCAAGTTGGTTGAAGCAATCCGCATAAACAGGGTGGAGCGCAACGTACCTTATCTTGCAACTACTCGTTTAATGCAGCAAGGAATAATACATAAGTTACTTTCTGTCTGAAGTACAGGTTACGCTATGCTATACTTCTCAGGACACGAGTGGTGTGCCCCGTGATCGACATCATCAACGACGAGACGTTCGCGTACGTGCGTAGCTTCGAGATGCACTGGGGAGCGTTCAACTGGGAGATGCACTTCCGCTGGTTCCCCGTCGGACAGAGGGAGCTCAAGCGAAGAAAAGGGAACTCGACGATGCCTTTCAGGTAAGCCGAGATGCCTCTTCCTCGGCTCCAACGATTTGTACGAGGTGTGAAGCCATACGCGTGTAGAGATACGAACTATTTTCGTGGAAACTGGCCTGGCACGCAAACAAGCCACGCCCTCTTCTGCAGCTGCTGTTCTCCCTGAATGGATGAAACCATTTAGTGTAAGGGGATAGGCGGCGTTAAGCTCCTGCGTGAAGAGTATACACCGTACGAGAGTGAAATTGTTTAATTGTCAAAGCCTGAATAAATATTTTAAGCGAACGTTGTATGACTCCCATATTTTGGCGTCGTGTGCAAAAAAAAAATAGGAAAAAAGCCCGGCGCCAGTGAGCGTACAGCAATGCGCCTTTAGAAGGCATGAGCATCATTTTTCAACAATTAATGCCCTCTCGATCACGGGCTCTCTAGGATCAGCCGTTTCTTGTATGGCAAGCGCATTTTTTGTCGACATCATTTGTCAATTTACGTTGTCGCGTTTCACTGTTTCCTGGATATGAACCCGCGACCTTCGTTCTTGCCCTCAGCAAGAGAAGTGTTGCGCTGCTAAGAACATTAATGAAGATCCCGTTCCCCGCATGGAAGAAGGAAAGAGAAGAGAGCACTGTGCGCTGAAAAAGGAAAAAGAAAGAACCAGCTTTTCAAAGATTCTCGTCGTCCACTGAACAATCGCTCATTTACGTTGCAAAAGTCTTCCCAAGGCAGCCGCTCGTAATATGCAAACAAAAGGTAGCCAAGAATCTCCAGTAGTGAGATGACAGGTAGGCAGTAGTATATTTGGTTAAACATGGTAATTTTTATGCTACGGAGTACATCAAGGGAACGGCACAAGTGATCAACAGCAGTAGTGACGAGTAGAGTGAGCAAGTTTTATTGTTGTTCTTGTTCTTAAAGTACGTAATTGAGTTTTGCGCACGTTCATGCCATCACACGGGTTGTGTTTTATATTCAATGATGTGCACACGTTGCCCTGTTGTTATTAACGTCAAAGAAACGTCCGAAACATCTGCGCAGGACGCCCGTGATGGCGGGTGGCCTGTTCTCCATCGAGAGGGACTACTTCTACGAGATGGGCTCGTACGACGACCAGATGGACATCTGGGGAGGAGAAAACATGGAAATATCCTTCAGGGTGAGCGAGGATATATGCAACAGTATGAGACAATGTGTGCAGGATTGAGGATTTCGAGCTGTCCTATCGATGGCACCGTATTTTGAAGAATACAGATGGAGGGGGGGGGGGGGGGAGTGATATGTAGCATCTTATATTGAATGCCGGCTTAACGGAAACAAAAAGAAATAATGCAATGAAGCATTCAAGAACATTGCAGTGCTCACCAAGTCAAAACAAAAAGACATGCGGAAGCGCTGAGCTTCTATTAACGTTTGTTGTGGAACAAAGTCGCATGCGACAAAAGGTGCGTAATGAAGCAACTTCGTTCTATAACAACCGTCCATTTAAGTTCAACTCTTGCATATGTGACTTTTTTTCGTGCCGTCCTTTCTACCCGTGCGTGATGTCATATGCAATTGCGATCAATCAATCGACCCACCAGTGCGTTTTATGGAGTGACACGCTCGCAGTCAGAAACATCGCTGTAAGTGCTATCGTTCTAATGGCGTTAACTAATGGAAACACGTTGACAGTATATGCAAAAAAAAAAGAGTGCCGCTTGCCACGCAAAGTGATCAAAATAGGACCGTTAGAATGCGATGACTCGGTTTGATCGTACCTTTTAATCTATTGCTTCAAACCACCCGCGAACGACATTATCCAGTAATAAAGTAGACGAGCGCTGTGGCTTGTCGGGCTACGCAGAGGCATAGCCAAAATTTTTCGTTTTTTTGGGGGGGGCAGTGGGAGGGGAAAAGGTGGGCCAAGTATATTTCATGTATGTTCATGCGTGCGTTCGTTTGAATATGCGCCAGTATATATACGCAAGCAAAATTGCAAATTTTCGAGGAAGGGGGGGGGGAAGACTTTAACCCTTCCTCTCTCTGCTACGCCTCTAACGGGGTGTCACAGTCACCCGAATCACATATGCGACGCTAATAAGTATAACGGCCAAACAGAGTCGGTCCCCGCAACTGATGCAGATCTGGCAGTGCGGAGGCTCCGTGGAGGTGGTGCCGTGCTCACACGTGGGTCACGTGTTCCGGCGCACGTCGCCCTACACGTTCCCCAAACCGGGCGGCGTCGGTAAGGTGCTGTTCGCCAACCTCGCCAGAGTGGCGGCCGTCTGGATGGACGAGTGGGCAAACTTCTACTTCAACATAAACCGTGGTAAGGGAACTAGAGGTACTGGTGCTCGTATTTTATATATTGACACGTTTACGGATGGTCAGTGGTCAATTGATTAGTTGGGGGTTTTGTGGCACAAGGGCCATAAGTGGTCAAAGTGCCGTGTCATTTATGTGCTGTTGGCGATGACCAGTGTTTGCGATGACAGGGTGTTTTATATGGTGGTATAGAAGCCTAAAATCATGTGCTATAAGTGAGTATAATAGCTCTGTACAAACTGTAAATTGTGGTAGCGATACGCGATGTGATCTATGGATGGGAATTGTATGTTCAGTGAGTGTAATATTTTCAAGTAGGAGACATGAAAATAGCACGGGTGCCTCCTCGAGACCTTCAAGGCCTTTGGCACTATGCTTGCTGTAAAGTCTGCAGCAAATTGTCAGTGAAAGCCGGTGTCATTGTCTACTAAGATTTTCCCGACTTTATCAGTAACTTTACTAACGATGTAGCGTTAAAGAGCTCGTTTCGGAGAATTTCCCGCATCGGCGCTGGTGTCGTTGGTTGTGAGCGAAAAATCATCATCTTATAATTCGTGCCTGAAAAGTGGAGAACGAAGCAAATAAAATAATTCATAAAAAATTATGGAACAGGCTGGAGAGGGTTGTTTGAGTGCAAGTGGGATCAAACCTGGGTCATTTGCATGGCAAGCGGATCTTCTACCACACGACCACGCCTCTGCTTGGAAATGCAGTGACAGTATCTTTCATGCTTCACAAACACATGCGTCCTGTATACATGCTTCACAATGCAACATGAAACATTGCAGTAATAATGCGTGGTACAAGCGTCCGTTGCAAACGGGCGTCAGAATATGTGATTATCGTAATGACTCCGTGGTTGAAAGCCGGTACTCCACTAGAAAATGCGCACACGCTACTGCACCTACTCCTAGATCACGTAGTGGGTGCATAGCAAATTAAAAAAAAGGTTTCATCCACTAAACGTTTGAAGTACGCACTAGAAACAGGATGTCGCTGTCGCGTTCAACTTTTAAAGGAGAAGCTTCAGGGAACCCTAATTTTTTTAGGGGCGAAGCTCCTTAGGGCGGGGGCTGTGCGTCCCCTGTAGCCTGTATGTAGCCACCTCTAGTTTAGTTCTTGCAGTGTTCACTAGATGGCGGTACCGTCCGCTGTATGTAGCCACCTCTAGTTTAGTTCTTGCAGTGTTCACTAGATGGCGGTACCGTCTCCTGTATGTAGCCACCTCTCGTTTAGTTCTTGTAGTGTTTACTAGATGTGGTACTTGTAGCTGATGGTGAAAAGATGCAAGATGTTATAAACTAGAAAGCGCTACTTGTAGTTGATGAAAGACGCGAGATCTTATAAAAGAGGAATGATGTCACATATGGCGCGTGTCATTGGTTGAAGGCAATCGTTCGATTTAGTGCGGCGACGTACGCTAGGGGGAGCGATGTAATAAAATCGAGTGGGCAAAATGTACAGAGGATTCATGGTTTACCAGGTTTACCGCCGGAGCTTCGCCCACTCATCATCATTCACTTCGTGGATATGGCGGAATTTTTTTTTAATTAGCTTAGTAACCATACACCATGCTTGTCCTTGCAGAGGAAAAACAAATAAATTAATGGGCACAAAAACAGAAGGTGGCAGCAAAAGATCGACAAAGCGATAAACTTTTGTCCTATTCTTTTTCTGGGTACGGTGTTTCGTTTGGCGGTTTATATCTTCAATCATAAACCAATTGCCCCAATTCTCAATAATAATATCTGGGTATTACGTCACAAAACGTTGATATGACTATGAGAGACGCCGTAGTGGAGGGCGTCTGAAATTCAGACCGTCTGGTGTTCTTTTGCGGGCATGCACTGACATCACACAGTACATGGGTTTCTACATTTCGCACCAAAACGCGAAACGGGGAATCGAACCCGTGACCTTGGGGCAGCAGCCGATCACTGTAACCGTTGATCAACCTTGACGGGTGACCCAGCTATCAACATTGCTGCTAAATGGTTGACGATACGTGACAGGTCCATCGCGAGCTTGGTGGATTCCGTGCTGCACGGTTGTGCCGTCCGCGCTCTCCAACGCCCAGCGTGGCTCTCGCCGATCGGCCTACCGTCCGTGATTTCCTGACGCCATGTAGCTCTCGCCGTTCGGTGTCCCGTCTTCGAACTCCTTCGACTATGTCCCCATCTTCCTATCTCTTCTCTCCTCTTTCTACACTCGTGTGCAGTGAGTGCTGTCTTCTACATATTTCCATTTCTACTATTATTTTATTGCCTTACCCCTTCCTCTACAATTAAGGAGTTTAGCCGTGTCGCCTACGAGGCAGACAAAAATTAGCTCATTTTTTCTTTCCTTCAAGAACCACTTACTACTTTCATCGCGAGCTGCGAACACTTGATTACACTGCTGCGCATGACAGTAAGCACCAGTCAACAAAGTATTCTGTGTAAATCATACAACTTCACCTTGAACGCCTCTGTTAGTGTAAGCAAAAATTAAGAAAGTTTACTTTTTAACAACTCTTTACAAGTACTATCCGAATGTCTCGTCTCTCCCTTCTGTTCTGTCCTATTGGTGCATCGCTTTTTTGTTTCGTATCATTTTTTTTAGTTTTTCAAACAATGTACCAACAAGCCCACCATCACGTTATACTGTACTCACCTTATGTTGAAGCTACTTTACCAGGGCATTACGCACGCTATCACGCCGTAGCAACCTGTGCAGCGTGTCGAAACAACTATAGAATATGCAGAATCTGCTTCTGAAAGGAGGCCCCTGTGTTCGAAAGTGTAGCATAACTCAGTGCATTAAATATATAAAAGAGTGCAATGATTATTCAACCTTTTTTTCATAATACGCAAGCACACTTTCCTGCGCTGCATATTTGCCAGGGTAAAACGGCGGCACCTATCGTGCCTCAAGAGTAGATGGAGAACTGAATGCACGTGCTGGGGTTTGTCTCTTATGTCTATTTCTAATAAGAGAGCTGATTCTACATTTTCAGCGTCATAGCAGAATCAATCCGAGTTTCAACACACTTCTTGCAGAAGCGACCAGCCCCCATGAAATGGGTTGACCGCATCGCAGAAAAGTTAGCTTTACAATATTGAAAAGGTAGCTTTTTTTTCTCCGCAGAAGTGCTCTTATTGTGCTTAAGACGACTTTTTAGCGTTCTGTGTGTGATCGCGCGAGAAGAATGGTATTTGCAACGTGTCGAAAGAACGACTAACATCTGCCACCAATCACACTTGTAAAACGTTACTGTATGCCATGGCATGGCCACACTATTCGATACATTTCGCGTAAAAAAGAAAAAAAATAGTTACGTAAAGGTGGGTTTTCCACACAAAAACTCTTCTTGTCGTGAAGCCAAACATTTAGCCCTTTATTTCTGATTTTATACAAAAGCGGAATCAGGTAAGTGCCAATTGAAAGTAAAGAATAGCATCTGAATGTTATCGCACGTAAGAACACCTTTGTGAGTCATGGTACGGCCACGCACTGCGGGGTGTTCAATGTAAAAAAAAGTAAATGAGAAGGACGCTTTTGCACCTAAACTACTTTTGTGTGGTGAAGCCTAATTTTCGACTCCTTAGGGTATGGTCGGATACAAAATGTGTATGCCCCGAATGAGATCATTTAAAATAAAATGGTAGGCTAAATCTATAAACCGACCGGCGTAAAATATTGTGAAAATACCTCTTCATTCTTTTCAGAATATTTTAAATAATTTTCCCCTTCTTACCTCTCACCATTTTCGCTGTTTCATTCACTGTTTTTCTTCGCCTGACAAGAGCTATTGAAAACTGCGAATGCATGCACACTGAAGGAGGCATTTAACTAGAAGCACAGGTGTGCATTATTTATTCCTAGTGGATCTTCCGCCGCATCTCGAATAATTCCTCCATGACCGAGCAAGCATCCCTCCTCCCCCTCTAAATCTTGTCGGTCATCCTTCACCATAGGAGGGAGAGGGGGTGCTTGCTCGGGATTTTACGGGACGCAAAACTAGGCGTTCAGTTCTATAACTACAACAACAAGTCGCAGTTCCGGCAGAAAGAACATTGTCGTAATTAAGTCAGCTTCCCATGAAAATGCTTGCGATCACATGCCTTCGTGAACTGTGACAGCATCTACAGGCTATCGCCGATAGATACAGACCACTACGCGTAAGGGACTTAGTGCACAACACCGCGTGAAGTGCTGTGTTTACGATCATTCTAGCAGCTTTGCAAATCGTATCAGTCGATTTGTGTTACCTGCCCAGGCGAATAACAAAATTTTTCGTGCAAGTATATTTCACAAACTCGAATCACGTTCTCCAGAATCAAACTGGTTTGAAACGTTTTCTCATTTAATTACTATTGCAGTGATTGCAATTATATTTGCATAAATGATCATCTAGATTAATTTATCAGCGCAAAAAAAGATTGAGCAGGTGCCAACTCAAAGGAAGAGGGCTGTGGTGGTGCCGTACATGCACAGGTTGTCACACAACCTGAAAAAAAGAAAAAGATTGCCCAGCGTTGCGACATCAGGGTGGCGTTTTCGGCCACTGAAAAGCTCTCCAGGTTGTGCCGAGCGGTGAACGTCCTCCCTGGGAACAAGAACATGTGCGAACCTAAGCACCGCCGTCCTTTTGTGGCGTGCGAGCAAGGAGCAATGTATTCCACGCCACTCCTATGCGGCATGTACTATGTTGGACAGACGGGCGGGTGTCTTAAATGTCCGTCTCAGAGAGCACCTGCTGATGCTCTCAGCGGTGGTCTGCAGTCATTTAGTGATATATATAGCCGAGACTGCGGCTGCTCCCCGCACTTTGAGGGTACAATTGTCTTAGCGAGGCATGGCGAACAAATTGTTCGAGAAATTTTAGAAGCAGCTGAAATTCAGAGGCTGGGAGACATATGCTTACGCAGGCCTTCCATTTCCCTCTCAAGTAAGGAAATAAGTTACCTACAGGGCATGCCTTTTTAATAGTTTCAAACTGTGTTTTACACTGTTCTTATAATTCGTTTTTTTTTAGTTTTTAACGTTTTAGATCTTGTTTGTCTTACGTACCTGCCTGGGCTTCTCTGGCTTTAACGTGTTCGGCCCAGTTGGTTTTGGCATCAAGTACATAATTGTTTTTCTTTTCTCTTTTCATAGTAGGGGTGTGCCTTTTGGCGTGATTGCCTTCGGTTGTTTTGTCTTCTTGGCAAGTGGTTGTCACGTGGTTTTCATCTCCTCTTTTCATCATGCTATCTTCTGTTGTTTTGATGCGTGCCTACAAAAAGGCCCTGCGTTTGAAATAGTAAATCAGTTGTGAGTACAGGGCTGTGTGTGTGTGTGTGTGTGTGTGTGTGTGTGTGTGTGTGTGTGTGTGTGTGTGTGTGTGTGTGTGTGTGTGTGTGTGTGTGTGTGTGTGTGTGTGTGTGCGCGTGTGTGTGCGCGTGTGCGTGTGCGTGTGTGTGTGTGTGTGTCTTTTCTAAAAGTTTCGTCTTTATTGCGCTGAGAAATTAGCCTAAATAATAATGAACCAACTCGCCCAATCAACAGTTTTAGCGTAAATGATCTTTTTGCTCAATGCTCACATGATTTAGATCAAGGTTGTCTTCATTAGATGTGAGCTAGTTTCACGCAATACTAGAACAATGATTTTACGTGTCTGCAGCCTACTTTTTACGTGCCCATTTTCCCAGAGATGAAGAAAAGTTACACACCACAAGATGTGGCGGAGCGCAGGAAGCTGCGAGAAAAGCTACAATGCAAGAGCTTCCAATGGTACCTCGAGAATATATGGCCGGAAAACTTCCTGCCCGCTGACAACAGATTCTTCGGAAAGGTACGAGGCCGTTGCGTCACTCGGGAGCGAGAAAAACTGCAGAAATGATATTTTCGAATAATTGCTTTTACCCCTGCAAGCAGAAAGCAGGCCGCCATAAGCGCGAAAACAAAGATTGTTTACGGGGTAGCGGGCCACAAGATTTCCGAACCTAAGGTGACTTGTACATCCAGGCATTACCACATAAAAATAATGAAAAAGAACGATTACATGTATGTATTTAGGTGCGCCAGTTAGATACAAGAAAAAATGGCTCCCGTATCTTCCCACGGGGTGGAACTTGAGTAAATGCGTCGCAGAGTGGTGGGGGTGTCGTGTGAATGCTGCGTCTACTCGAGTCAAGCAAAGTGTCAAGTAAAGCGGACGCCAAGTAAGGACGCCCTTAACTGAACTCCGAACGCGTGATCCGACGCCTATATACACAACGCCCGCGTTATAGGGAGGAGGGGAGACGAGGCACGAGACGAGCCGAGCATGCGCAATGGGGGTGTGAACGGCGCCGACGCAGAAGCGCGACATTATGCGACTAAGAAATGCTCCACATTTAAAATAAATTTTGTTTGTCGTTGACAGCAGTCATATAAGTTCGCACTGATTGAGTATGCGATTGCGTGCGCTACAGAGAAGCAGAGAGTGAGAAAGAGAGGGAGAGCAGGATGACAAACAAGTTGCTTCGTTCCCGTAGAAAACATTTTTATACCCACGCCGTCGAACTTTCGTCCTGTTGTCATTGATGAAAGCGTGAAGTGTGTGACAACTGATTACGGTAACTCCCGACAACCCGTATATATAACGTTACGTGTTGAACGCGGTAGAAGAGAGCAACCACAGCTGCCGCTGTGCAGCTAGACAAAGACGAAGATCTCGGAACAGCAAGGTTGGAAGTGGCGACCGTAGTATTAAAGCAAAGTCCAGAGTGTATTTCATGAGCGCGAAGCTTGACCGTTATTATACGCTGACGAATCTCGATCAAAATTCGGACTGAATGCTGCACATTTTAGCAAGCTCTAATTCTGTCCAATTTCACAAGGTGTAATGACGATACTTGAGACTGACGCAATGAGTCAGCATTCATGGGATTTTTTTCGCGCTGTGCACTCCTAGCGGCTTATAGTGTGAAAATCTTTCAAAGCGGCGTACAGCAGTAAGCTGGCGGAAAGGGAGGAATAGATGATAAATGTATAACATATTTCTAAAAATTGCATTTTCTTTCTCTCATCGATTTAGCAAATTCAGGGTACGATTAGTCGGGTGCATAACTAATAATTCACCACTGTGGGTCATATGCCCACTATGCATGCTATCCAGCTGGCTAGCTTTATTGGTGAAATGGCTTCGTGAGCAGGGTCACCTGACTTGGATACGAGTGCATTGACCTATTCCTCGTCTGTAAGCATGGTTATACGCGCCATCGACATACTGGGACAGCTGTTGTGACGCGTATGGAATACGTCTTTAGAAGGAGCACAATACATTTCCCCTCCCTTGAAGGAACACTGTGAAAAATATTCTGTTTGTCGTGATCTGTACTGCCAGATGCTTTTTTTTACTAATTTCTTAACGGCCTCCTCGGATTTAGTTGCCTCTGTTTCTGGGCCAGGGTTCAATACAAGCTCTTCACACTTCCCTTCCAGGTGAGAAACAAAAAGACCGGAAAGTGCTTCGTGCGGCCGAGCTCCAAGAGCTATCACCAGCCAGTTGGGAAGGTCGAGCTTGAAGAATGTTCACTTACGCACTACCCTATGCAGGTAGGAGTCTGCATCAAACCGGCAGCTCCTTTTTATTACTACTTTTACAGCAACATAGACTAGTCCTGATGGCCTAATATATTGTGTGTATATGTGTAATAAGCTCGCGCACTTAAGCCAGTGTTGTGTAAGAAGTGTAGCAGTGTCTTGTGGAATCTGTTTGTTGTTTGTAGAAACTGTTTGTGTAACTGTAACGAAGGCCAGCTTGTAGGAGGTGACGAGGGCGTTGTTCCGGCTGTAACCTTTGGCATGTCCCTACATTCGTAACATGATATGCATAACCTGACAGCTGTACCGTCAACTGCTTTGTGCACCCGGCGAAAAAAAATTATCATAAGGACAGAAGTGGTGCCGGGAGATTGATATCGAGAGCAACCTTAATTTTTGTGTTTCCTATACCAGTTAACTACATTCAGTATGTTTCTTCAACCAAGTTATCATCGAAGCTGTTTAGGAATTGCTTCATAAACGCATTTGCTATTTCTTTCTTACATGAACAAGAAAGAAAATGTTGCAGTCACAGAGAAATTTTCACGCAGTGGTCAAGGCAATAATCGTAGAAACTTTGTTGGAGTATTGGCGACGTGCCGTTGTTAACAGAACACTGGTTGCGAGGCTTGAGCTTAAAGCAACTTTTTTAAATGGTAAATTACTTTTCACAATACCAAAATAACCTCGCTTGAGGAAACGTGCAAAAAATATGAAGAAATAAAGATGTCGACGCCCCTTTGAGAGACATTAGGCAAAGAGTTTCAGAAAATTTAGTCGTACCATTTTTTGCCGAATTCCGAAAAAAAGTCACAGTTTTGCCAAAACGGCAAAGCAATGAATGCGATAGCAACATATTAGAACGTTTTACGAAGCAAGGCTACAATTTTTAGGAGCATCATTAATTGTAGTAAACATGCGCTTGCTAATTCCTGCCGTGCGGCCACCGCAGATAACCACAACAAGGTTCATGCTTAGAGGTGTCGTTCATAAACGAAGTGAGGCTGGCAGTCAACTCATTTAGATCCGATCTCACATAACTCTACAAAACGCTGGTGTAAGAGAACACGGCCACTTCAGGTACACTTTTTACACCGTGTTTTTGTGTTGAGAGCGCAGCCCCTAGAAGCAGCTCCCCCCGCCTGCTGTGGGGGCACAAGACGCGCACTGATCGTGACCGCGATAGCGCGGCAGTCACATGCGCTCCTCCCCCCCCCCCTCCGTTTTTTTTTTCGCTGGCAAGATAAGCGCGTGCGAAGACGAGCCAGGCCGGAAAGGTTATGCTCGCGCCGCAGAAAAAGGAAGCTAGTGCATGGCGATAGTTATAGCACGAGAACAAAACGACAACACAGAGACAAGAAGGACACGAAAGACTGTGTCGTCGTTTGTCTCTGTGTCGTCGTTTTGTTCTCGCGCTATAACTGTCGTCATGCCATACCAAGTAGCCCAAGCTGCCACACTGCTAGTGCATCTTTCCCCGTGGATATATACATACATATACATATACGTGAATGACGGCGGCGGCGACGGCAAAAACCAGCCGAGACTGTTCATATAATTGATATCACAATAAAAAACACTTTGAAATTTATGAAATCACGTGCGTAGCTTAGGCGCGAAACTTATCAATGAAACCTTAACCCTGACTGTCATCTATTGATGGCGGTAAATGTAACTACAGAAATGTTCTCAAAGCGTAACTGATCAGTCGAAACAGATTAATCGCTTCACAGAAGAATTTCATCACTACACCCAAAGTGTACTTTATCGGCGTTCTTATGACGCAGTACTTCGTGCTCACCGAAGAAGGCTTCCTGATGACGGACGAAGCCATCTGCCTGGATTCGCCGGAGTCCCAAGCCGACACCAACGTGGTCATGATCGCCTGCAACAACCTGGCCAGGCAGAAGTGGCGCTACGATCCAAAGGTATTACCCGCCGCGGTGGTCGAGTGGTTAAGGCCTCACCGCACGCACCCGTTGCAGCGCGGGGTTTTTGACGCGGCATCCGGCCCTCTCTCCACGGAGAGGGTGGGCGCGCAACTTTGCGTAGCCACGCACCCTCTCTCTTTATTGGGAGGAGGCACGACGCCACGTCAAACAGCCCCGCGCTGACGCGCTGCAACGGTTTCGTGTGGTCAAGCCTTTAGGTGCTCCGACCGCCAATTCGAACGTCGCGGGATCGAATCCCGGCGGCGGCCTGAACTTCGTTGGAGGCGAAAATGTTTGATACCCGTGTGCTTAAATTTAGGTGCACGTTAACGAAACCCAGGTGGGCAAAATTTTCGGGGCCCTGCTTTCTGGCGTCTGTCATAAGTTCTCATAACCACGTCATGGTTTTGAGACGTTAAACCACAATAATAATTATTATTATTATCCTAATTTAGTGCAATCTACACTGCGTACACTCTGCCTGATAAGTTGGAGGATCAGTCGTGCACGTTATCAGCCAGACGCGTATATCGCGAGTGCCTGCCTATGATTCTTTTTTTCTCTGTATATTTATTTTGCAGAATTGTGCCAAGGTAATTTATACTAAAACCAATATATGCTAGAGCTAAGGCCCCAAAGCTGCTCTAGATGTTGTAGTGGAAGGCTCCGGCTTGACTTACAGGGTTCCTTACACGTTCCACCTCAGTGAACTCTTAGGCAAGAACTGTCTTCTAACAGCGGAGCTGTTAAAGCTTGCCGTAATTTCTCGGAAACAGAAATGATCATCATGAACAGGTACACGCTCTCTTCTTTCTTTTCTGCCTCACTCCCAAACACGTGCGCCGATTTCTCCGGCGTGGTCTGTGATAACCCTGATGGGTCAGATGAAGAGTACAAGGAAAGACAAAGAGATACACAAAATGAGTATGAAGAAAGAGGGACATAAATTTTTGGCGTAAAATAGTACTCCACGAAGCGTGATTCGAACTAGAGCCCCGATTCGAAAGGGAGCGTTCTACAAGGTAGACAGATGCGATGATGAGGAGAGGGAAAGGATGACAGGACATAGTGAAGCATAGCTTAGAAAAGAATGACAGGAATAGAAAGAATGAAATGCATAGATACAAAACGAAAGAGAGAGGGGGGCAGAAAGGGAGTGAAAATAAAGAAAAAGGATAGAAAGAATCTGCAAGAAAGCGAGAAATGGAGAGAGAGAAAGAGAGAGCTAGAGATGGATGAAAAGGAAAAAAAAAGAAGAATGAAGAGAGAACGAAATACTAAGAAATAAAGAGAGAGATAGAGAGAGAGATAAATAGATAACAACAGAGAAAGAAAGACAGAAAAATGCAGAAAAGAATACAGAGGTAGAAAAAATTGGCCCCGTATCTACATGTTTCACTACAAATGTCGTCGAAAGATGATAGTCTTGTGTGTGGAAAGAGTGAAAAAAACGTTTATTTTATGTTGTGCGTGAGAAAATCGCTGAATTGTATTCTAAAAGCACTGCGTTAGGGAGTCTCGATCAGTGCAGCGAAGGCGAACGAGCGCATCGAGGCACGTGAGACACAAGCGCCATCTAGCAATTATTTTCGAAAACAAAGGAAGGCGTGCGCGCCCGCGGATGGAGATGAGCGCCTGTCTCGGAGGCAATAAGGTGTAGAACGCTAAGCGACGGGCAGGTGCCACCACCGTGTCGTCTTAGCAAAAGGTTAAAAACACTTGCCTTTTTTAGCATCGTGTTGCACTGACAGCGCAGCGTGATAAACGCTACAGTCCTTAGATTTACTGATGTGTGCTTTCTCTAGTTTAAAGAAACACAAAATATTGACGCGTTGTTATGGTGCCTCAGATATGCGCAATAATTGTTTTTTTTAATTGACAATCGCACAAGTATGAACGCTGAAACTTGAGCAGTATTAGTGGGCGCTGCCGATGGGGTATCGCTTGGTGCCGTTTGGGGTATTGTTACGGCGAACAAACAGACAAAAATACACAGACAAAAATTTTTGCCTCAAAGTACCCCAAGAAAGAATATCGTCTTTAAAAAGAAGAAATTTGTTAAACTTGCAAAACAGGGTACAGCAAAAGCTTAGCTGTTCTGAGCTCCGCTGTCTTTAGCTTTGCGCCTCCAGTGCAAGCTACATCACTTTTTTTTTCTGAGTCGATGCATTGAACCTCCCGCATTCCTTGTAAAACTTTCTGCAACTGACGTGGTTTTGTGATGGGTTCAGGATCGTAAGCATCGTAGGCTTTCCGCGAATAACCTTAATTTGCACTGAATCCGGGATCGGCCCACCATTTACCGAGCAATGATGTCATGTGATGCCGCCACTATGTAACATGGTGTAACATGTAACATGATGTAACTATGTAACATGACGTAGTGATGACATATGAGACGGCATCATGTGATGGTGACGATTTTTTCAACCACTCGTGTTGACGCCACCGACGAGGGACACCGGTCGATTTTGGCTTTTGCCTTAATGACTTTCAGCACTTGTTGATATTAAATATCAAATACTACTACTACTACTACCACTATTATTATTATTATTATTATTATTATTATTATTATTATTATTATTATTATTATTATATCCTGGGTTTTACATTTCGAAACCACGATATGATTATGAGAGACGCCGTAATGAAGGGCTCCGGAAATTTCGACCATCTGGTGGTCTTTAACGTACACTACACGTGCCTCTAGCCCGCATTTCCATGTAGACGAAGTTGCGACTGCCGCAGCAGCTATAGAAACCATGAGTCTGCAGCCGAACACGGTAACCACTGCATCACTGAGGCATATTTACACAGAGCACTTAAACAAGAGCGCTCTCTATAGTTCATCCTTATAGAAATGCTGCCTGGAATCGAACCTATAGTATACCGCGTGGTAATCTCCAGAAGGCCCTATATCTCCTGTGTCTTCACGGCTGTTAAGACACATGAGACGCACCTAAATTTCGTTCCAGGGGCCATAGCGCCCAATTTTTCCACCATATTCTGGGTTATGCGGGTTAATCCTTGCGCCACAATGGCGCACTCGCGAGCCGTGGCGCAACAAGGAGATAGCCGTTCGAGCACCTGTATTCCGGCGATACGATGTTTTTCCGTGGTCAGGTGTGCAAGAAGTTGAGACATTTTATCTTTCTTCAGCTAGGCACTGGAAATGAACGATTTACGGCGACTTAAACGTGGCAGAAAACGACGGCTCCGCTCCAGTCCAACAAATGACGTCACACGCGTCATGCCAAATGGCAGTCGCCGGCCCTGAACGGGGTTCACGGCCGGCCCTTTGTCAGTTTGCACTGAAGTACTTTTAAGTGTGCATACACTTTATAAGCGACCCCAAACCAGCCACCGCCGTCGGCGGCGTCCGCAGTCTTCTCTCTATCTTTAAAAGAAAGAGGACTTGGCGGGCCGCAGCGCGACGCTCTACCGAATAAGCCACGGACGCGACGCTGATATCGGTGTCAGTAACGCGCCTTATACCCCCTCCCCCTTCGCTCGCTCCTCCGCTCTCCTCGCTCGCTGCAGCTGCACGCGCACCCCTCTCTCTCGCGCGCCCGCCTTCTCTCTCAGTCTCCCGTCGAGAGCGGGTCGTGAGGGGGAGTAAAGTTAAAATGCGTTGGCATTCGCCAGTGAGTTAACGTAAACTCCCCCGTGTGATCAAATTGCTATTCCCAGGAACCATTACACCATAACGGCACCATAGTGTGACTAATAAATATAATAGTGCGAATTAATAAATACCCTCATAGCATCACCCCTTGTATTCGCACTTAACCATGTTCACCCTCGGGGAAATGCTTGGGAGTTTTTTGTTTTATTTTTACGGCCCAATTTTTTTTTCTATCTGTACAGGCGAAATAAACCCTGTAGTTCTAGTTTTAACTTAAAACCACAAATCGCTCGGTGACAGTGCCATGATTGCTTCAACACCTCTCTTCAACTTCTCTTCTTTCCCAGACTAAAGAAATCGTGCACAAGACGACCAAGCTCTGCCTCGACCTGCCCGGTAAACGCGGACCGCAGGGCGTTCGTGTGCGGGACTGCAACGGAGGGCGAAGCCAGAAGTGGATCATGGAGTCCGTCGATTGGAAGACACTCACCTAAGCGGCGTCGACGCCTCCGAGAAATCGCACACGCTTGCCCACCGTCAACTAAATACGGCTTTGACCAACGTCTTTCATCGGCGGCCTTGCGTAGCCATGCTAGATTTAGCTTAGTCTAAAAAAGCACTGTCGAACACGTGAACACGTATATAGAAAAGGAAAGAAAGAGAGAGAGAGCGTTTTGGAGTGAGCGACAGCGCACCATCCCAAGCCAACTTATGACGTCATGAACGTGCGACCATAGAGTTTCTCAAAATTAACTAGAGGGCATTCTGGCGCTGCGATCGTTCAGCGACCATGGGAATGATGGGTAGTACACACATTTGCCTAGTCTTCGTACTTGCGGGTGGCGAATCGTACTTGCGGCTTCGTTCTTGCTGTGTTTCGATTTTGTTTTGAAAGAAAGATTCAATCCTTTTGAACTTCGTGACCCAATTTGGAAAGCTAATTTGAAAAAAAAGAAAGGTGGTGAAGCGCAATCGCTGAACATTTACTGATTTTTGTTCCGTGAGAAAACAACTTCAAGCCACACGAACACACACGGAGCCAAGAGCAAGCCAGAAGTACGAAGTTTAGACAAATGTGTGTACTATCCACCATTCCCATGCTCGCTGAAGCGCTGTGCATTGCAGCTCCCTTAGACACTAGCGCCAGCGTTTCCTCTAGTGTATATTGGGAAACTCTGTGCGTGCGACGAATCAGTGTGCGATAAAAAAACGTACTTGCTTTAGCATCACTCACTCATACAAAATAAAAAGAAGAGGGCGCAGAAATATTACTGGATGATTGAGTCTCGGTGCAGATAAGCCCTCTTGATCAGTGAGATAATGTCCCTATATATCTAGGACCCATAGTCTCCGAGTCCCTAAATCTGGAGGATTTAGGTGAAGATATTTGCGACGACGTATCAATCGCACAACGTAGATAACCGTCGAGCTAGTTGAGCTCACGAGCCCAGCTAACAAGCAGTGTCGTAAAACGTCGCTGATAGGTCTACTACTGCCAGCGTCTACCTTCGGGTATACACACACACACATACATACATACATACATACATACATACATACATACATACATACATACATACATACATACATACATACATACATACATACATACATACATACATACATACATACATACATACATACATACATACATATGTCTGCGCTTAGTGAAAGCTCTCTATTAATTTATGTAGAATCACTTATTTCACACATTTTTTGCAACTGTGTACATAAAGCACGATTATATATAATTAATTTTTTATAACGTAATTCATCCGAGCCTCTTCACGCTGTGCCATGTAAATATATACACGTCGGGTCTAGTAAGACAGGCAAGTAAGCTCGTAAAAAATCTGGGTTTTTTAAGGTATTATTACTTGTAAATAAAAAATATACTTTCGCTCGATTTGACTACACCTTATTACTGTAGTGACAAACACTGAAACCCCGGCGAAACGGATGCGAAAGTGGGGCTTATCATCTACACATCGGAGCGCGTGCATGGTTGATTTACCACGCCGGCTGCAACGAGTACGCGCTATCGGTTTTCCGTTGAACTTCACTGTGTTTGATCACGCTGCTATCACTACCAGACGCCGATTTTTTTTTCTTTATCTCAAAGCTGCGATGGGTTCTTCGCATGGACGGCTTCAATTCTCCGATTTGACGTTCTTAATTACTGTCCCAAATAGTGTCTTTAAGCGTCTTAGAACGCCTGCGGCTACAGAAGAAGTATACGTAATTGTGAAGGCATTCAACAAACATCGCATTTCCTAGACTTAAGAAGATTTTTGACACATTTCTTGAAACACCTGATATATTTAAGGACAAAGCTCTTAAAGCTCGAGGTATAAACGTCCATTATCCGCAAAAGAACACTCCGCTCCCGGTATAACACTCGGTGTAATGTATCGGCGATTGCACAATAGAGAAATTCATACTGGTGTCACACGGGCACTTTTAATCGCGATCAATGTTGATCCGGATTAACCACGATAGGTGCTGCTGTACGGTCACTTTTAATCATTATCAGGCGTGATTGGGATCGAGACTATCGCAATCTGCCTGAGAGATCGCGATTTTGCTGCCGTCTGCACCCCCTAGCCGAGATTGTTCAAAGCACAATAAACAAGAAATTCGGGCATAGTTCGATAAAAATGCTTTAGAGAAAGCTAGATGTTTATATAAGCACATTCTAAACCATTAAAATTGAAACAATATCTACAGTATTGCATATTGTAGGATTCGCGTCGACCGCATGTAGTTACGGGGGAAGCAGACGGCAAGCAGACGACAAGCAGTCAACCGTTGCCTTCAGCGCTTAGTTCAACTCTCGCTCCGTCGGAGCTGTTAGGGCACCTAGAAGCAAACTGGTTATGGGTATCGCAGGCCTTTTGACTATACGTCGCAGCGTAGGCGCACTTCGTGGTCGAATGAAGACATCTTTACAGTGATTGACCGCTGGCAGATGCGACTGGAACAGACTTGAGGCGTCAAAAGTGAAACACTGGCGCGTACAACGAGATTGACGCTTCGCTGCGACTACATAACTACGAGCGGGAGCCATCAGAAAAAAAAAAGCGAAGGTTAAGAATCTCACACAGCAATACAGGTAAGTGCTAGGAAAAGTTTATCGAGTGATGGATTTATGAAAGTACTACAGCAGTAGCCTGATGAGTTTTGGACGTTCGAGCGGTTCTTGCACGAATACCATTGCTGATAAACGGCTCTATAGGTATACCGTACGTCGAGTTTTATCAGTGGCATGTTTTACGGCTCGCAAATGCCACCTGGGGCACTTCATCAGACCCAAGCTCGAACCGGATTAGCTTGGGCCGTGTAGCAGAGGTAATAAAGTTGATCGCGATCAAGAGAACTCATTCGGATCGCCCTGATCGCGATTAAAAGTGCCAGTGTGACACTAGTATTAAATACACCGAGCCAGACAATAAGGCAACTACGTGCGTCAGTACAGTGCTACTCATAGTAACGTACGTGAACACGAAATGTATACATATACAAAGTGTTCAGAATGAAGCATTATGATTCTCATAAAATTTAACACTGGGAAGAACATGAAAAGCACATATTCACATAACTTATGTATCCAGGAGTGCCTACAGTAAGACAATAATTATCGCTATCAGCAACCTAATTAGGTAATATTTATTAGAATTTTAAGAACTGCAGTAAGTACGCATGATTATACTGAAAAGTTGGAGGCAGTCACGTTTATAAACTGCAGTTCCAGTTGGAAGAATTCTTTTAGCGGTCTGTGCTCCGAGAGATCCCACTGCAAAGTTTAATTGCGGTTTGCATCTTATGTAAGTAGCTGTTGAAGTTAAGCAATATTCATCTTATTTTACGCGCGAATTGGTACCACGTCACGCCCTCGAAGAAATCTTATGTCCGGCGCAGGTAACCGTTGTCAATTGATTCGCTTATGCCTGCCTCACTGTTGCAGCTTCGTCGTGCAGTACTACTAGGCACACTTATTGTTTCTAGCAGACTGTATGACGTTATCTCGTGCTGCCTTCACCTCCTTTAACGGTAGGGAGCTATGGGAGCCACTGAATTTTTTTCCACACGCGAGAGTGCTTCTGGAGAAGTGCGTGCCGCAGATTCCGAAGTGCAGTATCCCTGGACAGCACCGCGCTACGGTCCACGTGATCCACTGGTTTGCTGTCTTCCACTGCATAGGGGGCGGCCGACTTTGAGTAAGTGTATATATATATACTCTGCCTACGCGATGAAGCTCCAGGTTTTACTAATTGCGACGGCCCCCGCTCATGGATTTCATGTTCCTCGTTCCTTGGCGGCACTCAGCGGTTTGCACTCATCGTCCGCAGCGGACATTACAGAATCCCATGAAACCTCAGCCTCAGATGAAACAAATGAGGCCTTACAGATAGAAGGTATAGATGTCGGCAAAACTGGGACGTTTCTGGAGTCTACGTGATGGGAAAGCATGAGCTGTATCCGAGAGCGGTTCTGACACCCGTTGACGGGACATTTCATCGATACTGAACGGCTCAGGAGAGCTCCGATCATCGTGCTGTGCTTTAGGTGGTTGCGACGATTCCTTTCTCACTGCCAACTATTCGTCTGGTAGTTTCACATTCATTCCTTCCTTGGATATTTCCAGTGAAGCTTAATTGTGACTATTTGATCTTCCCAGTGCTCGGCATTGTTTTCTCGATGCAGAAAGACGCGAGTTCCGCTTCTGAAGTGTCGTTAACTGGGGCATACGTCGATGGAGACCTAGCAGACACTCAAGCTTCAGATGGTCCCTCAGATGTCAGCGGTTTACCTGTGTGAGCGCGATCAAAGTAAGCGTCCTAATGCGAAATTTGCACGGAGAGCCCCTTCGATGAGCCGTTTTGTATATTGCATCAGATTGTCGCGCTTTTGGTGGTTCACGCTCGAAAAGCTCTCGAACTCTCACATAATCGCTAAGCTTCGCTGTGATATCATCATGTGGTGCAACTCCGGTGTCCGGTAACTCCACTAGGTCACTCACCGGATGCCTAGACTCAGTCCGGTACGCCGCCGTAGGCAACATCCTGTGCTCAGTAGATTCAGGAGAAACCACAGAATTCTGTCGCCGAGTCACGCCTGTATTTACAGCCTCGACTGTTTGATCGTCATCACTACTTCTATGATAGCGACGGTAACTAAACACACCTGCACATCCTCCACCACAAACGGAGAAAGGTTCTCAAAACAGATAACCACTCGCAGGAGCACTGGCTACCTCTTCGTTTGGATTAAACATCAGGCTGAATTGGACGTCCGAGCCAACGTCGTTCAATTCACGTGGCGTCCCCGGTTCTGATGGGAAACAAATATACAAGTCCGGGTATATAGTTATTGCTGCTACTCCCAGTCGTGTTAGCAGCTATAGATCCATCCTTGGACCAGAATACCCTCTATAGGCGACTTCTTGTCACCACCAACTCCGCTGTTTGGGTGCTTCTGGAGGTAGCGGTCAGGAACCTGTAC